TGTTTTTTTAATAATGGGATGGCAACATGGACAATTTTGACTGTTATTTTCAATGATTTTCTGGCTTAATACAATACTTTTGCTGGCAAGATGTTCATGGTAAAGGACGTCACATATTTACAATTGATGGAAATTGAATGAATTATTGGCGACAGAATTAATAATGGGTGAAGCAGTGATAAATAATGTGTAAAAATATTATAATACCTATAAGTAATTAGGGCCTGTTTGTAGGCTTTCTACAAGGTATTTCATTATTTGTATATCAGGTATTATTCACAAAATATTATAAGAAAAACAACCAGTTAATGCTATGCTTAGCATCAAAATCAGTAATAATAATTTACTGAGTGTAATGCCTTGTTCTCACGACGCTAGTAATTTAGTCGAGTTGCGAATATTTAGTAGTGCTCTCATTTGCACTTCGGGACAGAAGAGAGATAAGACTACTGAATATTCGCTACTCGATTAAAATGCTAGCGTAGTGTGAACAAGGCATAATGAAGAGTTGGGGCGTAGTGGGAGCATCGCTGTCTCCCTCGCACACGTTCGTATATTGGCGATGACGTCACAATTCATATTGGACATCCTTATCTCATTACTTGACAACAATCTCGCCACAAAGTTTTAAACATTTTACATTAAAATGGTAGCGATTTCTGTGCGCATTTATATAATTTTATTTCTAATTTAAATTTAGAATAACGTACTTTTTTATAAAACAATAATGATTGGTTACATAAACATAATATTTTTTATATTGGGAGCAGAAAAATAGCTCTTGTATCCATCATAAATGACTATAATAAGGTAAAAGTTCAACTTTATGAAAAAGAAGTTATTCACAACAGTAGGGTAACAATGAAACACTTCAAAAGCAGTGTACTCAAGCATCAAACATAACATGACTTGGCTAAACAACATTTCATAGTACAAAATAATTACCTAACATAGATGTGCATATAATGTATGTTAAGTACAATATTTAGATGGCGACTATATTATTATGTACATTTACTTGAATTAATTCACTAAATCTTAATCCCCTCATCAGATCGCTTTGTTCAATTAATTATAACAACTAATTTTATGTACTTAACTAGAATCTACGTACAATTTTATTATTTCCCCAATATAACTAAAGTTAAAAAAAATCGACTCTAAAGTAAAATACAATAAAGTCGAAAATACATTAAGGTTTTTGATGATTTTTGATTTACATTTAACTGATTTTATATTTACAAATTCTTAAAATTAGGTATGTTTATTTAAAGTATGTAGGACTAAAAGATTGTAGGTATTGTAGGATTGGTTCAGTTTAGTGGTATTTTTTTCGATGCCATTAAGTAACATGATTTATATAAAGCAGTCTGTTACTCAATAATTAAATTAAAAAAAAATGTAAACACAGACAATTTCTAAGCAAGGGCGGTCTGGCTATACAAGCGGGTTGGCGATCACCGAGGGTCCCGGGATGTAGGGGCCCCTAAATCGCTTTACAGTTTTTTTTTAATAATATCTCAGACTAACGTAGACCTAACCATTCAAATTAAAAATGTAAATACAAATAGCTTCATTGTAATCAGTGCCAGAATAAGCCAGCGCGGTGTCTGTAGCAAATCTCACCAAGGGGCCCTTGATTTGCTTTTAGCTTTGTGTTTGTTTAAAAAAACAAAAACTAACAAAATTGTCTGAATTTAATTTGGGCAAAGAACAATGCTCAAAAAGTCATGTAACTCAAAAATACAACAGTACAATAATAACAGTTTAGGGAGTCGAGTTCCTGTAAGTTCCGAGTCTCGTCCTCTGCATAACAAATAATCATCATGATCACATCAGTCACAAGTGCTCTTTTCTTCCTGCTGAATTCGACACAGGTCCCTTTCAAAATTGCCATGTCCGTAAAGGACCTGGGTGAGAACGCACGGGAACAGCGCGCCCGGCCTCAGCTGAGATAGTCTGTGTCTCCAGTTCGCAGTGAGATTTTTTTATGGTCATCATGTCACACCAGCGGCTCCCTGTGACTTGACTTCGGTGGACGTCCTGTGCTGCTGTTACTGGTACGTGGTTTCCGGTTTCCTTTCAAGGACCTTATCGGCCGTCATTTGTCAGTTCTCCGAGCTATGTACCCTGCCCACTGCAATTTCAGCTTGCTAATTCACTGGACTATCTCAGCGACTTTGTGTGTTTGTAGATCTTCTCATTTCGGATTGTAACCCACAAAGAAACACCAACTATGGTAATTTCCATAGCGCACAGGGAGGCTTTAAGCTTTCCTACGAGGCTCATAGTATGAGCCAGTGAGAGACCACGTTTCGGTTCCATAGATCATAACTGGTAACATATACTAACTGACTTTCATTCTCGGTGATACATCAGTGCCTCCAATGCAACTTCACGAGAGGGTGTCAATGATGTGAGACATGTCAATGACATTACCACGTCCGCCATGACACCAAAAAATCATTCAGGCGAACATGCTTACATCACTTAACACATCTTCAGAATCAAGTCTGAGGGCGGAACCATTGATCAGGAGTCGTGCTAGCGGCTACTTTATCTACGGAGATATCAAACAAAGAAGTGACTTATTGTCGGAAAATAGATTGCCATGAAGCAGAAACATAAAAAATAACTTAACTTACGAGTCAACTATTACTATTCTGATAATATGTTTAAGTTAAATCAGGCGTGAAAGAATGCTAAACTGTTATTAATTTTGATGTCTTCAAGTCGATGTGCTTAATATTTATCTAATAGATATTTCAGTTTCACTGTCATACGAAAAATTATAAGGTACGGTGGCTAAGGCGCATCGATTGACATTTGTGTTAAGGTGCTGTAATATTTTGACTTCGGAGCATGATATTACAATACATAACCTTTTCCTAATAATAACAGACCCAACAAAAAAATGAAGCTGTTCTCGAGATATGCACTTAGCAACACTTTTATCTTTACGCTCTTGGTACACGTGATCTTCTAAAACGCGGACTCCCAGCAATTGATACTTGATTCTTGCCACATGGATAATCCACGACTGACTAAAAGTATTGAAAATTATTTGTTTGTACCTATAGGGTAATAAGAAATTTTGTGTTACACATGGGGCCCCATATTTGGTTTTGACCGAAGACCCCGTTTTACCGCCAGACCGCCCCTGGATTTATGACAAAGAAGCCTTGCTCAGTTTCATATTGTTCGTTGATGTTAGGAACATAAAAATGATATTAGATCACGAACATATCAATGACATGGTTTCGTAAACAAAATGACTGGGCGACTGCTGAAATTAATACTGATAATGTTGTCGGGACATTGAGCAAATAGATACAAAACCAGAATGGCACAATCTTCTCGTTAAATATTACAATAATAATATTTAAGCACTTATCTTTACATACGCATATTGTACTTGGGCTACTTGTTATGATAGGGTACGTGAGTACATCAACAGGAAGATGGCAGTTTCCGAACATTCTTTATAGTTTCTCAACTTGAAGTACTCTGCGTGTTACGTCTTTAGTCCAGACCATACAGACATCGAATGTGCGAGTGGCGGGCATAATACCCCCCACTCTGTTTATAATTTGCGTAGTTCCTCACTTATCACTTGACTATGCATACGACATAAGACATTACACCTATTATAAATAACTTAAGATCCCCCTTTTTCCCCAGAAGGGAAGGCTGAGGAGCACAAAGTGCGTATATTTAACGTAACACTGTTCGCCAGTAACGTTATAAGGCCCACATAATACGAAAAGTCTGTTTTCATACACCGAGCACAACGTCAGAATCCATGCTTTTGCTGAGAATTTCCGAAGTACTGAGAAACTCAATAAATATACCCCATTACAAATAGTTCAATTTATAAAAAACTAACTTCTGCCAGCGGCGTCGCCTGCATCCCCATCCAAATTTCATCCCGATCCCTTCAGCCGTTTGACGTGAAGGAACAAACATACAAACTTTCACATTTATAGTTTTAGTAGGATAAGATATCGTAAATGCAAACTAATGTAAAGTAAAAAAAAATCGCAAAATTAAATGCCAATTCAACTAATCTACAATAAAGACGTCCTTACAAAATCATATAAGTATATCTAAAAAATATCACGACATCTTATTAAAAATTATAAAAAAATATCGATGACATACTTTTTGTTGCAATTTTCAGCAAATAATTTAATACATAAATAAAAGATGTTTCTGAACTTTTTGTACAAATATGCTATCGTAATTTTATTAAGTCAATACCGGGTATTAGAAGTATTTTCCCGATACCTCTTACTCGGCTGTCACACTTTGCACCGAGCGCAATATATCTAGTCATCTGTTCACTTTATCCGTTGATGTCCAGCACTACGTTTGTCACATAATTTTATATGCGTGATATTTATTTTCTCTAATAAAAGGCTCATCATATTCATATGACGACTAATAAACGATAAAATAGTTATTGTTTTCCATGAACCATGGGTTCTGACCTTTTTACTGTCGATTTCAATAACTTATCTTAATTCTAAATATCATTATTATAATGATCGATTTGCTTGTAAGAAGTTAGTATCGATCCAGATATTCGGATGAGTAAGATAAGTTATTAAAATCATAAGTTAGGGTAGTTACAATACTAAATAATGTGTAACATGTTTATAATTTCAAACATTGCTTATGGAGTTTAAACACTGTCAATGAAAATAGTTCAACATAGTCAGCGATTTTGTACCTACTGATAACTTCAATTGTTGACTGTTGTCGATAGAACTGAAGGGTACACATTTGCTTTTATCGGTACTACGATTGTTATCAATATTAGTAATCTAAATTGAAACATATACGTCGATTTGTCCCTTCCAGCTATAACAACTACCACAAAGTTAAAGTTCGACGGTTTATAGATCTGCCGTCACCACTCTACACTGGCTGTATACTCGACAACACTATTGGAGACTCGATTGCCTTTTGAGAAAGAAAAAAAATTCAATTGTTTTAATTTATTGTCCTACTACTTTTTGGACGCAGCCCGCGGCTTCTAACTTCTTGCGTTGGGTGGTCACACGCTCCAGTAACTCGTCTTTCCACCGATGCGCTGTCCTGTCTATTGTTGAAGGAACTTGTATGCAGACTACGCCACCAAACTCACAGTTCATCTGCAAAATAAAAATGTAATTAATACATAAAGTTCATAATTCATTAAATTACTATTACTAAAAGAAAATATATACAACTTAAAATATAAATAACTATGAACTAAAATATTTACACCTTACAAAAAATGCTAAAAACAATAATTTGCTAAATTAATTTTGAAATGTTTTTAAATCAATAGTGGAAGTTATTTCTTAAGAAAGAGTTTAGAAATACAATTTGAAATAAGATTAAATCAGATTCTTAATGTTATTTGTCTAACGAAATAGGTGAAGTTTTTAAAGCATAGTTACCCGATAATGGTGTAGCAGTGCCCTGTCGGTGTTGACACCGACGGAGCTGGCACCAGGCGCGAGCTCCCACACGAAGTGGTTGCCAAGCTCCACAGCATCACGCGGCCTTAGCGCGTACTTGCTGCGGTTCTTCAACGAGTGTGGTGTACTCCACCGCCTCGTCTTACGGAACATTAGTAAAGGCGAATTAACCTCAGAGTCATCCTGAAAGGAAACACAACATTTTTTTTGTATAAAAAAGCTGTATAATTCATGGAAAATTATATTATTTTATTGTAACACTTTTAAATATCAAAACAGTGAGCATATAAATAAAATTCTAAACAAACAAGTATAAAAAACTGTATAAAATATTCATGGAAAATTATATTATTTTATTGTAACACTTCTAAATCTCAAAACAATAACCATATAAATAAAATTCTAAACAACAAAAAGAAGTTTCAAAAACCTTACCTCCCATAGAAGATAGAAGAAGGCATTCCGGAATAAGAATGCAGATGGCGCTTTGGAGCGCGGTTGATATGACGCTCTTAGAGACGTCAATAAGGCAGGTAACGTGCGCTCCCTCCGCGGGAACACTACTTCATCCACATCTATCACAAGCAGCCAACCAGTGCGGGACATCGACCTGTATAGGCAGTCGTTGAACGCCGCGAACTGGCCTTCTGTTCTGCAAAACCACATTCAATACTTCTTTCATAAACCTCGTTTAAAAAAACCGACCTTAACCTCCTCTTTTTTAAAATCAGTATACATGTATGTACAATACATGCGCCCTCGTACTCAAATATCGTGCCATCTCTGTCATTTTAAAAAGAATTTGTAGTGACAGAACTATACTTAAACGCGTCTCAAAATATACCTCTAGTATATATTCAGTATTCGGACCTAAAACCTTTTACTAAGTGTAACAAACACTTTACTGAAGACCGCATCAAAATCGGATCAGCTAATCGCGAGACAATCGCGCCACACACACATACATATATGCTTACATGCATACAGGTCAATTTAAGAGCCTTCTTCTTTTTTTAAAGTCGATTAAATTTTTTTTTATTTCCAACTGACCAAAAACACGACACGACTTTTTTTCTAGCTAATCTAAACTCAATCTCATTGCAAACTGTAAGTAGATTGATTTGATTTGGTGCGTAACGATACGGTTTATTACATTTAATTCTGAGCGATAACGTAGCGAGGCTACATTCGTAAATTTCCATTTGCTTTATCTAATTAACGTAAAAATAAAAATGTATCGTAATTTCTTATTACATTTATTACGTACATCATTATTATAATTAACTGATGGAATAATAATATGTGCATTTTCTTTTAAGGGGGGAAAATATGCGAATGCTGCACATGCATATGAGCATCTTTCATAGCTTGAAACTAGTCGAGGCAAGCAATTACGTGAGTAAGCTGAAAACATTGTAATTAATTTAGTATACCTCCTGAAAGTTTTGAAATAAATATAAATTATATTTACCTGATTTCCACCTTTGATAATATAGGAAGTTGCCAAGACAGCAACGTGATGAGACCTTTCTTGCGATAATCTTCGAGCAGGCATTCGACGGAAGAACTGAGTGACTGATTGTACATGTAGAAGTGACTAGCGCCTAGTAGCCGGTTCATTTCAAACCACTCCACCAGCCAATCGAAGCGGTTGAACGAGAAGTGGAACGGCTTCACACATATGTGTAGATTTTCCTGAAAAAATATTACGTAAAATTATTATTACTAGGAGCAATTCTCCGCCACAGACTTAGCTATAATATACAGTCCTTGGTCACATTATTAGACACACTGTTGTTTTTTTATTCAATTCGTCACTCATTAAGATGATTTCACTCTCTGTTGATATTCAGTTTTAAACTTACGAGTGTTACATATTATGAATATTTAATGGGGAAATTTTTCAATATACAATTACAGAGTTCATTATTTTTTATATATTCACAACATATTATAAAACTAAAACCTTTGTTCGGACGCGCTAATCTCTGGCAGTACTGTCCGAATGTAGTTTTATTCGATTAATAACAACGAAATTACTACTTCATCCTAATGGATCGACAAATTACGATTTCACACAAATAGCTGTTTTACGACACTCACAGAATGTTTGATTGACATTAAATTTTGGCATCTATCCACTAGCTTTAATCTCACAGAAGATAATTACATAAATATTTATAACGTAAAATTAACTACAACTAAACTAGTGAATAAAAAAAACTTAAAAAAAATTATACCCTTAATTAGGCGTCAAAGTACTCGTCCGCATGACTATCACACTGCTCTGCACTCATCATACAGCACTGTTCGAATTGGAAGCAATATTTTTGTCTAGGTAGTCCATTTGTCAAGGAAGGTTATGGGATATAAAACATTACATTAAGACCAATAGGAACCGGGCAGCGGTTGGAACCAATAGCTTGTTATGTGACAATTATAACAAAATCAAAGTTTACCTCGATTCCTGGTTTCGGTTCTGTATCTTGTACGATGAGTAGGTTGGTTGGAAGTGAGTTGAGTTTGTCAGTAGCCAGTACTGCCACCGAAGCCCCAACTGTCTCATGTGGCTTCACTCCTGAATCGGCTAACAAACACAAAACGTATGTCGCACTAAACTTTAAGTTCCAATTTTCACGGATGGCCTGTAAATAGAATATTCAGTAATTAATCACAATATCCAACCTAACCTTTTTTTTAATGGGGGGAAATCCTCATGGAATCCAACCTAACCTATTTTAAGTTTTGTTCATAGAATCTAAAGCTTTCTTTTTGTCCTATGATAAATTTCTGCCAATCCCGGATAAAGGCAAGAATTTCGTGTATTCGTATACGTAGGTATATGAGAATAGAAAAAAAATTATTGGATATATATCTTTCAAATGATCCTTCATTCCGTTTGTTTCCATCTATTTTCAGTTCCACACACGTTTGACAAACCCAATGACAAGAGTTTCCTGCTATTTATTGCCCTATCAAACTTGGAAAGACATTAAAGATAAAAAGAAGAATAAAGAAGTCAGCTTATTAAAAAAAATAAGTCGAAAATGCACAGAACCACATCTGCAGAGGTCATAGTGGTTTTGCATCGTGTATGGAAGACGTAATACTGAAAGGCTATAGAATTTTAAGTCGTTCTTAAATATAGTTTTGTCACTACAAGTTCTTTGTAAAATGTTAGAGATGGCACAATATTAAAAATACAATTTAAAATTGAATAGGCTTTTATTATTCGGGCGCATGAGTCCTAGATATTCAAATTCACCTTTCAAGTTGAATCAGAGCGTCTTAAAATAACATCATTTACTTAATCTTACTTAACCTTCATCCAAGATAGACGGAGTTTAGGTCTCAATTAAAGAAAAGTTGACTGCGTCGTAGGCCAAGTGATCCTGGGCTCGCTGCCATTGCAGCGGTAAGTCCCCTCTTTGAGGAGTGGCTTGAGAGACGCTACGGCGTCCTCACCTACCGCCTGACGCAGGTCCTCACCGGACATGGCAGTTTCGGGAGGTACCTGTGTCTGATGGGGCGGGAGGAAACGCCCGGGTGTCATCACTGCGAGGACCGCCCTGAGGACACGGTGGAACACACGGTGGGAGAATGCCCTTCGTGGGCTGAGCACCGCCGTGTCCTCAGGGAAGTGATCGGCGATGGCGACCTCTCGCGTCCGGGCCTAGTGCAGGCCATGATGCGGAGCGAGGGGGATTGGGATGCCGTCTCCTCCTTTTGCGAAGCAGTCATGCTAGCTAAGGAGGAGGCGGGACGCGTGAGGCAGCGAAGTGCTGCCTCCTCGCAACCCAGCCATCGCGAAGGACACACCGGGCGTCGGGGATCGCGGGACGATCTCCGGCCACCGTAAGCGCGGGCCTGCGGACGGCGAGCATGGGTGGCTCCCCGTCCGACCAGAAACAGACCCGAGCGTACGGCGCGTCGCGTTCCGCGCGCGCCTCAAAGAGCCATCAGACCACCACAGATGGGGTCCAATAGGGCCGATGCCGATTCGGAGTCGCGGAGAACCTAACGGGTAACCGGGGCTCCGGCTCGACGTGCAGGAGAAGGAACGGGGTGGTTTTTAGTCAGTAAGAGTCTGACACTCCCTCCCGCCTCACCCAGGCGGGGGCAGTCATTCGATGATTTTCCCCCCTTAAAAAAAAAAAAAAAAAAAAAGGCCAAGTGATCCCAAATGGGACTGCCGGGCAAAGAGTCTCGAGTGCGCTTCCAGGTTCGGGCAAAGTCAAGTTACTCGTTTTTTTTAAATTTCCAGTAGTAGCACGGAGTCTGGAATTGTACCCGGTATATGGCAATAGGCTCACCCCCTATTACATGGGACTCATAACATAAATAGTGCAAAATGGGTGTTACATTGTACAGTGGCATTACGTACCTACCCCTTCGGGGATTTAAGGCTTATGTTATGTTAAAGAAAAGTTACTGTCAACATTTAATCATGGAATATAGACTTCACATAAGAAATCTTAACTCAATAAAATCTGTGGAAATATCAAAAAGGTGGCACACCCTCATTCCCGTCGTAAAACCTTTTGGCTAATCGACTGTCGTTTATCCGACGCGCCGCGGTCGAAGGCAAAGCATACCTTTTTGAATTCTTGTCGCTAAACCTTCCCAGCCACGATCTCAACTATTCAAAGCTATTCTGTATAAACTGCGTACCATTTAGGACTTGAACCTTGACCCCGCTCGGAAAGGAATATTGAATTAAAATAGGGAATAACTTACCCTATATAAGTGGTTTTTTTCTTTGATATTTCAATTTTCATCTTGATAACGATGCTTTCATTCACTTACTAGACATTTGAATGAGGTTATCTAATTTTTAGATTTTTTAAAATCTGGGTATGAATCGAATAGTATAACCCTGTTATGACTCTATTAATTGGAACTTACATAATAAGATAGTTGGCAAAAGAAGCGACCTATAACATATTTAACATGTACAGTCAAAGTTCAAAAGTCCACTGCCACCGTGAGTTCACTCGGTAATGCGTAAGTAATTTCATATTCACTCGGCAATGCGTAAGTAATTTCATACTAATGTGCATAAACACGCGTGCGTGTGCATGTATAAGCGCTGCAGCGCAACCGATAGTAGTCTTACGTTGGCAGTGGACCTTTGACCTTTGACAGTACATATGTATAATTTCCTGATAAAATGTTTATCTTTTATCGATACTAAGCTTATAATTTACTCAAACTTACTTTGACTTTGGCTTTAAGTGTGAGTGTGCGGTTGTTAACTAGCCATAAGCGACACATGACGCTGTCGGCTCCCCTTGTCTTAGTGGCCGCAATGATGCGCACTGCCGCTACCGTCCGCCGCTCCACATACGCTGAATATACGTAGAAACGAAACCTGAAATGAGATAAAATAACATTGAAATTAATGAGCGAATATGTCCAATTAAATATCTTTTCGAAACACTTAAAATTATAATTTTCGACGAATTCCAAGGATTACACGACTCATACACATAGGTTTATTTATTAAAATTACCTAGAAAATAAAATGTCATTCTGCAGTTTACAAAGTGATACCGGGATGCCTACTTTCAGTCGGTAATATAAACTACAATGACCAGCAGCTTAGGTAACACACGGTTAATTGTCGAATTATCGTAATAAACACAGCCTATGCAGCTTCATTTCAATATCAGTCGAGATTTCTCTATAAGCTAGTCTGAAAAGCGACAGACCGATTAATATGTTGCAAAATGTTTCAAAACAATGCCGATATACGGCATACAATGATACGCTAAGCCGCTGCCAGTAGCGCCACGGGAAGAATATCTCTTTCGAAGCTAGGGTTGTTACATATTTATAGTGTAGAGACAATAATAATGAAGAAAATATGTGTAACAAATAAATAAATCCTAATGATATTTTGATAATAAAAATGTATCCTATTTTAAGTGATAGGGTATTGTTGCTCTGTTTTGATTTTATAGGATTAATAAAGCGCATCAAACTTCCTTGTACTATTAAGGAGTGGAATTCATTCCAGAGTCTGTATTTCCTGGGTGTCTTCAAGGCCCGAATGAATAGGTTGCTTATGGGGGCACGTGCTCCATCTTAGACCGCATCATCGCATCATCGCATCATCGCTTATCTTACCACCAGGCGAGATAGTGGTCAAACGTTGGCCCATAAAATATAAAAAATAAATAAACGTATTGCATTCTAAACTACATTTTATGTCATATTTTTAACCGACTTCTAGAAAGATTAAATCAAATATGTACCTAAAGACAGATAGAACTAGATCATCCAACAGTTTTAGAGTTTTTTTTTTTAAGGGGGGAAAATCATCGAATGACTGCTCCCGCCTAGGTGAGGCGGGAGGGAGTGCTAGACTCTTACTGACTAAAAACCACCCCGTTCCTTCTCCTGCACGTCGAGCCGGAGCCCCGGTTACCCGTTAAGTTCTCCGCGACTCCGAATCGGCATCGGCCCTATTGGGCCCCATCTGTGGTGGTCTGATGGCTACAGTTTTAGAGTTAGTGATGCGATTTCTGTATGAGGATCTATATATGTATATCCAGAAGCCTTTTGTATTCCAAATGTCAGATAGATAGGAGCTTATTTTTTTTAAATTGAAACCCAATAATGTCTAATGCATCCTAAGGACCTCGCGTTCGGCAGTTACCTCTTCTGACTACTCTACCACAGCCAACGTTGTATACATAATTCATTTCAATTGCTACAACTTTATTGTAACTTGGATAACTTAGTTTGAAATGAGGTCGTTTATTCAAAGCGGTGCGTGCACTTTCGATCAAAATTGGACAAAGTTAAAATTGGTATGTTAAGCTCTTTCTACGTTAAACTTGTATGTAAACACGAATAAATACAAGGAGTTCAATATAACTTTTATAATTTAGGTACGTGGGTAACTAATAAAACTCTGTAGAATTCTAATAACCAACTGACGTAGTGTACCGACATCAACCCCCTTTTTAAGTCAGTTAAATAATACCTATACTAAAACCTAAGTTTAACAAATACTTTTCTGAAAACCGCACCAAATTCGGTTCAGCCAATTGCGAGATAATCGCGCACAAACATACATACATAATAACATCACGCATTTTATCCCCGAAGGGGTAGGCAGAGGTGCACATTATGCCACTGTACAATGTAACACCCACTTTTCACTATTTATGTTTTGAGTCCCTTGTAATAGGGGGTGAGCCCATTGCCATATACCGGGCACAATTCCAGACTCCGTGCCTACTGAGAATTTTGTAAAAACCCAGTAATACTTTGCCTGACCCGGGAATCGAACCCGAGACCCCTTGCCCGGCAGTCGCACTTGCGACCACTCGGCCAACGAGGCAGTCTCATACATACATACATACAGGTCAAATAAAAAATCTTTTTAAGTCGGTTATAAATAACAATTATTCCTTATATTTATCGACAACCCTAAATACGTCAAACATACGGTGTGACTAGCATCGCATAGTGGAAGCTCACGAGAATATCCGGCCGGAAGGGATCGCCAGTTTTGTTTGCAATTAACAATGGAAGAGGGGAACGCTCACAATAATCACTGCATCTAATGTATAAATGACTATTTGCAGTATATTTCGAATAATATCTGTTTACAGAGAATATTATATCTTGGACAAGATTAAGTATTGTTTTGTTCAAAGTATTTAAATGGATAAGGATTTGTTATTCTGTAAAAACAAATTCGTGGTGGCCCGGAGGTTTAAGACGCCCGCTTCTCATGCATAAGGGTGCGGGTTCGAAACCTACCAACGGCAAGTACCAATGTAACTTTTTCCGAGTTATATGTACTTTCTAAGATTATTCAGACACCACTGACACACGGTGAAGGAAAACATCGTGAGGAAACCTGGGCTTATAATTTCTAATTATAAGTTTGTAATCGTCAACCCGCATTGAGCAAGCGTGGTGATTAATGCTTAAACCTTCTCCGTGTGAAAAGAGGCTTTTCTCAGCAGTGGGCATTTATAGGCTGGTGATAATGAAAAGCCAAGTCAGAATTAAGGCAGAGGCACAATCAATAAAAATCTTCGAACTTGCGTCGTCTGGATTAACAATACAACAGTGATAATTGTACCCATTATTTATACACACCTATATATTATACCTATTCCTAAATACCTAATTATATTCGGAACAAGGCTTATATTGATTTCAGTGTGAAACTGATAGTTGACCTTTTAAAAGAAACGAGTAGATTAGACATCGTTTGATGTTTTCGTGTACCAGATCCAAAGATAAACATTGAGTTTATACCTATGTAAGTAAGTACCTATATGTAACAATAAATATCAGATAAAAAAAACAAACCAATAATATCTTACACAAATAAAGCCTTCGATGTATCGATATCAACTGGCAATGTACAGTCGAATGAAAAAAATACTGTCCGGGTAAAATTTTCAAGCATCCTTACAGGGAACTTAGTAAGAATGGATATTTAAGTAATTTTTGGTCTCTTTCCACACGATGTCTTAATTATTGCATACTCAATATTAATTAATAAAACCAAAAGAGCAGTAATACCACCTACATATCATCATCAACAGCCTATAACTGGCTCCTTCTGACCAAAGGCCTCTTCTCGTACGGAGAATATTTGAGAATTAATCACCACGCTGGCTCAATGCGGGTTGTGCATGAGAAATTTTAAACTGCCGGGCCACCACGACATTTTATATTGTTTAAATAACCATAATTTATGCTATAATTTTATTATAAATAAATGTTGCATCAAAACATTATTTTATGCAAAAAATAAATATTTAAGAAAAAAAACTTCACAAAGAATGGCTTACAATTACTTTATCAAGCGATAAGCTGTTCAAAATGAAACAGAAGTACTATTTATAGACTTAAAATCAACTCCCTAACTTCGACATAAAAGCACATTTAAATAGGGTCTAAATTATAACTTATTCAGATTGGAACTTAAAATTAATTACCATTTCATTCGATAGTAAAGTAAAATCACTTGACTATACGTAGTGTCTCAATGTTAAATACATGTCACAAAATATATCAAAGCTACGTACGTTATTAGGTAAAAGGTCACAAGTTATTTTCACTATAATTAGAAGAAAATTAACTTTTTAGAATTGAAAATAGAGTTCGATTTCGAAAATCACGCTAATTCTCAATCATTACAGAAAAAAAAGTTTTCTTTTCTTATAGTACTTTCCTTTTGCTCGTCGACTGTACCTCTACATTCACCTGTGTGTCATTATAATATCATGGGTAATGGAATCAATAAGCCGCCCACAGACGTCTATAAATACAACCTAATCAAAGATTGGACCTTCTTTGTAGCTAATAATAAATATGAAACGAAATTGTCTCTTATTTATTCATTGACTGCAAAGACGAATACATTTGAATAAATTCATTGAGGGATGTAACGAAATAGGTCAATAAAAGAGTACATGAAAAACGTGTAATATAACGCAACTTAATAGCTTTTATCATCTAAAAGAGTATGTTGAAGAGAACCAATATGTATAACAGACTTTAAGAGCCCTATTCACTAAGAACATAATAGTTATACATAATGTTCTGTGAGTTATACTACCCCAGCTTGCCAAACCAACAAAGCGATTACGTATTTTGTATTTTTTATGGGGAATATATCATTTCAAATGTCAACTTGATTACAACTAAATAATTATAATCGGTGAACCATTAAACCCTAGAATTTGTTCTAGTGTCTGTCTATAAACACCACGCCAACGCGAACGCAACTATAGGTTCTTACTGATCCCACTTTTTAGAAAACCAATCCAAGGAATCCGATCAGGTACACTGACACATTCATTAAACCATCAAAATTCTCTCAAACCATTTGTTGTTATGCTTTCCATCTCTCAAACTCTATAAATATTACGAAGTCACATCAATTCAATTCAAATCAATCTATCAGTCCCCTATGAACGCTCTTCCTATAAACTCCCAATATTTGAAAGGAATAGTGCTGGCTTTGTTCCCTCGCTTCGTTCCCTAGAGCTAGAGATATTCGCTGTGTTCTTTAGAGCACAATGATACCAGCGTTCTTGTCCGGCTTTAGAATACAAGTGGTATTTTATACATGCGTATTGTATACTCTTGACTGTGTACTTTTGGTTGAGTTTAAATGATTATATTTTCAATCAATACAAAAATAATAGTTATTACTACATAAATAGTTTTAGGATATCATATTTGTATAGTAATTATCGTGAGCCATACTAAATAAATTAAAAATCGCGGGTTAC